GGGATTTGCCGCAGGCAGCGGGATGTAGAAGGAGTGGGACGGTCAGATAGACAACTAGGACCGCGCCGAATGCAGCTTCACGCCTCAGAATCTGAAGGCACCTTGATGTCCAAAATCTTCTGCATCGCTCTGGTGCTGCATCCCTTCTAATTGATACTATGCAATATTGCCTCGAAGGGCTCTCATCCCTAGACGACCCCAGGAGACCCACCAGATAGCCCCAGAGACACCCCGAGGGAGCCCTGAGAGGACCCAAACTTCAAACTTCACAAGTATCGGCATCCCTGCTCCATCACGCGCCTGCCTAAACCGTTCCAGGCAGCTCTCATGGGCATCGTTTCTGGATGGGGTGGCAGTAATAATCAAGAAGCGAAGCGCCAAGAATTGCTACAACGATTGTTACAAGTATGCTAGCAATTGATACGCAGTAATCGCCACAAGGATGCAACTTGGGAATGAGAGGTGCGTCTGATCTCGGCATGCCGCAAGCAGAGGTATTCACAATGCGAACTCGCTGAACGGGCAGGCGCCCTCACAGTGCAAGTCGATTGCCCTCTGCCACGCAATCTTGATCAGAATATCAGCTGCACCCTTCGGCGTGTAAAGGTTGAACGCCCGCGTGAAATCCCTGCCGTAGCTCGTCAGGCGCCAGCGCTGGTCCAACTCGTCTAAGCCGATCTTGTTACCTGGAGGCAGGTCGGCGGAAATGACATCCTTGGCGAGGTCCTTCGGAAGCTCCACTTTGGGCGGTTATTTTTCACTCCTGGCACTGCTGGCGGAGGCTTGCCCTTGGCCTCGCCCATGCCATGGCCCTTGCCTTTGGCCGCATCTGCATCTTTCTTAGCAGCATCGTCGGCTATGGTCTTCGTGATCTTTTGGGCCGCCTCGCGCACGGAGGCCTTGAGGCTCTTGCGCGCGCCCATCTCTTCGGTGGCGTCGTCCAGGTCCTGTTCAGAAAGGTCGCACTTGACGCCCTCCTGCAGCAAGAGCCCCAGCGCCTCGTCGTCGAGGTCGATCCTACACCTCAGGATGCTGAGCTTGATCTCATCGGTGATGACGGGGAGTATTTTCGCAGCGATGGCCAACGACAAATCGACCCCCCCCCCCCCCCCCCCCATTGTCGATGCCGCGGCAGGCCCCACGGCCCTCGCAATCCGCTGCAACATCACCTTGGGCATCCCCCAGAACGTCGCAAAGAGCGCCAGCTACGACCAACTCGGACGGCGCCGCCGAGATCGGGCCCGAGAACAAGTGGCCATGGTTTTCCAACCGTCGTCCAGACGAGCACCGAACACCTAATGTGCTCCGCCATTTACACGCCCATGCACTCTCAGCGCCCCAGTCGGTAACAGAAAGAAAGCAATGCTATGAATATCAGGGTCAACCTTGAAGTACGACTTGCCCGCGTGCACCACCTTCACGACCTTCAGGGGCGGAACGCAAGCTCCAGACGTCGATTCCAATGGTAGATGCCAGGTGCCACCAGCAAAAGTTGGCGACTTAATCAAGATGCGGTTCTGCTTGTAACCCGCAAGAAAGGAATGCCACGCTGTGTTCACCGCGCCGAAGTCGTGAATGGAGCGCGCGTGGCGGACCAGAGCCATGTCCTCAACGGTAGCTGACATCATCAAAGGCGCCGCGGAGAAGTACGGCGCCTCCTTGCGCTCGCTGACGATGTCGCGAAACTCCCCGGGGCAGAGTTCGGGCCGAACCTCGCACGAGGCTGGGGCCTTCTTGTGGGCCATCCCCCGCTTGATGACTGTGTTAGCGTGCTTCAAAGACTTGCGCCTGAACTTTCTCGATTCGATCTTGTCAACGATAAGCGTTGACCAAGCCCGTGCTCCAGACATTGCCTTCTGGAAATTCGTATCTGTTTCCGCTTGTCTGAGCTCCCTCGCCGCGCCCTCCACGATCTTGGTTTGGGTAGCTCCATTTCCACTGGTTGCTGATGGGCGTCTTGATATCCTCCGTGGGCTTCCAATCAGACTCAACCAATGCGCCGATGATCTGCTGGGAATGGATCCTCCAAAAAGGATGCCTCTCAACTACTTTCTTCCACTAGATGCCAGCCTGCCCCTCCGCAAACTGAAAATCAGCGCGCTCTTGTCGAACCCCGCGTACGATGTCACCGCCCCTGGCTGGGTCGAGGACTCCTGGGAACTTCATCGGGGACGCCGTGTATTGCATAAGAGAATGGAAACGACGAGCAATGAAGGCGACGCCGAGGTCGCCGATGGTGCGAGCAAAACTGTCCTCAGCAACGACTCGAGGGTCATCATCGGGTAAATTGGAGCCCAATCGCTCTCCACCTCAGGCCCGCGACTAGAGACAGACTGTAAAAAGTCTGGCGGCACTGTGCGCCAGGTCGGAGCGCGTCTGGCTCCTCGCCGTCAACTGGAGTAAGGGTCGGGCGACTCCCCCACTCCGCCAACGGCTACCCCTTGTCGCCGCCAAACTTCCCTCCGCGAAACTTCCGGGCCTCCCGCGCCTTGTCGCGCTGATTGTCGACCTCTGCCTCGTCTCTGAGTCTGGCGGCCACGTGGCTCTGCAGAGCCGGGGCGATGCCTCTCGCCCTGCGCCCGAGTCCCATGATGTGCTCGGGGCCCTCCCAGACGGCAGCTCCTCCGCCCGAGCTCGCGTCCATGATCAGCTGGATCCGGCGGCCCACGAGCTCCATGCACGACAGGTTGCCCACGTTCAGCTGATCAACCGTGCCAGCCAACTCCAAAACGTTCAGTAGCACCTCGAACTCATGGGCGCTGCGATCATTCTCGGCCATCTTCATGTCCCGCACCACTCGCGTGAAAGAGGTAGTCGGGCTTCTTCCGTTGAGGCGGATGCGCCGACAGAGCCATAACGCTGTCCTGGGGCCCATCAGCGGCCAGTCCGCGAAGCTCTTCTCGCTGAGGTTTTCCATCACGCTGTCCCATGAACGGTGGCGCTCGTTCATGTGGTCCCACGCCACGGCGAGGGTGCGAAGGTCATCTTCGTCGTCGTCGTTTTTCTGACCTCCGCGAGGCCTCTCCGCTTCCAGACCTCGGACCGCACTGCGATCGAGATCTCCCTCGGGCACCAGCATCAACACCAATGGCCCCCCCGCGCGCTGGACCAGGGAGCGGTCACCTATCGCGTTGCTGGCCGGGGGCGTCTCCCACCGCGTCAGCCGCGCAATGCCGCCCCGCTCCTTTGCCGTCACCCGCGCACTCGATGGGCGACCCGCCGCGGGCGCAGCGCCGCTGGCGGACCCTGGGGGCGGTCCAGCCTCTCCCGCTCTAGGGGTCGGTGGGCCCTCGCAGGGCGGCGGCAGAGGCTGAGGGGCATCCAGCGCGGCGATCGCCAAGCCGACGTTCGGCACCAGTGGCAGCCCAGGCGGGGGGTGGCGGCACAGGCGGGCCAGGGCGTCCCTGTGGGCCCCGAGCTCCTGGGCCAGCGGCACCTGGCGGAAGCGATAGTAGCGCAGGTTTGGGCTATCCAAGTCGCCGCCCTGCACATCATTCCGCCGCGTACCCCAACTGCAGCGCGTGCTCCATGCACTGCCCGCCGGGGAAAGCGGCGCTTTGTCCAAGCTCCTGCAGGACGAGCTTGAGCATACACGTTTACGATACACATCGTGAAAGTGTAGAGTGCACCACTATCGCCAGAGAACCAATCATTACCGCGCACGCACAAACATATCGTGGGGCATCCTCTGGCAGGCCGATGTCTTACTTCCGATGTCTGACTGCTCATGTCTCATGTACTACTTCCTTCTTAGCTCTCAAAGTTGGTCACCGGACCCCTCCAGGGATTTTTCCTGGCAGTTTTTCCGAAACGGATTCCGCCGTAGCTACGAGAAGCCTCCAGGAGGGCCAGAGAAGACAGCATCAGGGAGGGTCGCCGTTGTCTCGGCTGGCCCTCCTTCGAATCTCGCGTGCCTAGTGCACCCTGACAACGGCCGATCGGACTTGTTAAACACGTGGCTCCAGAGGTCCCGATTCCTTCCCCGGGGGCAGGTTTGCGTCCAGGAGCCGGAATCGAAGGAAAACGCCCGGGCTGAACAAATCACATTGCCGAAGATCTTGGTAGCCCTTCCGCCCCCCCCCCCAGAGGAACTAGGAAGAGCGACTTCATCATCACCACCAGCGCGAGGTGCCAAGGGGGGGTCCTCCTGTTGATGTGGCCCCCTCTCCCTACTGGAGACATCCCCTGCCCACAGCACGGAGAGGCATCGTGGACATCCTCGCTGGAGGTGGTATCCCTGGTTCTTTCAAGGAACAAAAAGCGGCATACACAAAAACGTTCGGAGGTCCGGGCAGGTTTCTTGGATCGGAGCTGGAGCCCCCTCCCAGGCGCGCCTCAGAAAGTGGACGTTTATGTCTCAGTTTGCTCATCGATCCTTACCTCCCCAAAGGTGCCTGCTCAGTGCCCCGATTCGCTTCCGGAGTACCACCTCCGTCGCTCCAACGCTGCGTGAGTCATGCCGCCGCTGACCAAAAATTAGTCCTCGATCCTGGGGAAACCAAAAAGGAACCGATACCGCTTCTCCCGAGGCCTCTCATGGGGTGCGTTCTGACCAGAATCTCGCGGCGAATCCAGCGGTGGCGACGAGGGCCTCCCAGGAGACCGCAAAAGGGCAAAACGAGGACAGGGTAGTGGTATGGGTACCTGTTTCCCTCCTCTGAGATCCGGCCCCCCCCCCGAGGAGCAAGGATTGCTTTTCCTCCCGCAGCGCCGACCGCCCAGATTTGAGCAGGGACCGACCGTCCCGGCATTCCTATAGTCCTACCACGATTTTTTTTAGAACCCAAACATGCTCTAAGAACAACAAGCCATGCTCTCAGAACATAAGCCCGATGTGTTAAAACAAGACAGTCCCAGCCAGAAACGTTTTATAAGAACATTTCGTGCAGATCACAGAAGGTTCTCAGAACATTGCCTGGTGGGGCTGTAGGCGAGCCAGGACACTCCGCCACTGCTTAACAGATGGCCGCGCGCGGCGCACGGGGGGCCGGCGCCCGGCCTCACGCGGCCGCCGCCGGTCGTCGGGCCAGCAGGGCGTAGTCGACGCCGAAGGCGTGGCCACGCTCCAGCGCGCGGGACACCTGTTGGCGGCGCGCACAAAGGGGGGGTGGGGGGAGGGGGGGGGGCTTCTTAGAAGGAGGCTGCTTCTTAGAAGGCGCTGGCCTTGCATCTGCAGATAAGGCCCGCGCCTTCTAAGAAGCAGGGGTGCTTCTAAGAAGCCCTCCCCCCTCCCCCCACCCCCCTCTGCGCGTGGCTGAACCTGGGGCGCTTCCAGGGAGGGCCTCGGCCCCGGGGAGTCGAAGGGGCCTGTCAGGTCGAAGGGGGCCGAGCGGTCGGACCGGAAGTGCAGACAGAGAGGCACGAGCAAGAGCATCAACGTTCGGAGGTCCGCGCGGATTGCTCGGATCGGCGCTGGAAGCCCCCTGGCGGCGCCTCGCGGGAGGGCGGGGGGTCCTCTTGAGGAGGTCCAGGGGGCTCCTGAGATGGCAGATGAGCTTTTCGGCAGGCCCGCCCCCCTCGCCACCCCGCCACCCCGTGCGCGCCTTGCCAGCACGCGGATGCGCCACCGACAGTACAAGGCCTTTGCCACTGGATGCGTTTAGCGGACGAAGAGCATTTTGTTCCGCCATCGGAGGTGTCTGTCCCAGAGCGGCTGGAAAGTTAAATGCCCCCAGGTGCCGCCGTGAAGGTCACTATCCATGGAACAGGCGTCCCCGATGGCGGACCAGGGTCTACTCCAAAAACATCCAAAAACACAGGGTCCATAAATGTTGACGTCTCACTCGCAATTATGGGCGAAATCTTTTCTAGAACGCACCACGTTGGTATTAGTTCGGTAGACTCATCCTTTTGTTTGTCCTCTTCATGGTTATTCTCCGGCTTGTTCCCCCTCCTCTTCTTCCCCGTCGGCGAGATCGCAAGGGCAAGCGCAAGGGCGTCAGAACGCAAATGCTACCCCCCACCCTTTCTCTTTCAAGGGGGGGGGAGGGGGAGAACACCCTGGACACGGTCGCCAAGAGGGTGGAGGAGCAGGGAATAGTGGAAAGAAAAAGGGCACAGCAAGAGGATGAGAAACAGGAGTGTGAAACTACCGGGCACAGAAGCAATCTGATAGACCTCCCAGCCCAGACAGACATGTTGACTGCACTCGGTGTGGAAGCTGGCTTGGAATGTAAGTTCATCGTGAAGCGTTCGTGCCTGTGGAAAGAGCCGAGAGAGAAAGCGACGACGTCGGCGTTCACCAAGGCGACGAGGACGTTGAAACGTTGAAGACGACGACGGCGACGACGACGTCGACTATGACGACGACTACGACGACGGCAACGGGGGCCCTGGAAGGGACCCGCTCGGACGCCCATTCGCACGGTGCCGGCGCGCGCGCGCGCCTGCGCCTGACAACGAGGTCCCCTTCAGGGCTGCCGTCGTCGTCGTCACCGAGGCCGCGACCGCCGCTGCGAGCTGGGGGAGTGCCCGCATCTATCGGAGGGCCATCCAATGCCCTGGGACCCCAGGGGGCGGCGGATATGGACACATTTGGGGCTCAGGCTTACGTATTGAACCGTGGAATCGACGGGGCCGTTTTTTTTACCGTTTGTCGTTTTTCATGCTGCTTTACTGTTTCTGGCGCCGTTTCTTTTAAATCTTCCTGCGCCGTACTTTTACCTCTTTCGTTTCCCGTAGCGGGGGCCTTGTCCAGACCATCGCTTTGTTACCAGATCGGATATTTTCTGCTTCTGTAAGTCCTTCGGATCCCAAGACTACCCGTTCCGGTGAACGTTTTTTTTGTTTTGCAATTTCGGTGAACTTCTTTTGCTCATACATGGTCAAGACGTAGCTGTAGTGTTTCGATACACAGTTGAAATACAGCCCTACTGTTTACAGGGCCCACGAAGGTCCCATGGGGGCCCGGAATGCACCCACACCCAACGCCCCCCCCGAGGTCCAGGCAGCTCGGTCCCCTGGCGGCGGACATGGATAAGGCAGGTTCGTGCGGCGTCGGCGCGCGCATACGTTTTTGACAACGCATCGCCCGTTCAACCTTGATTCGGTCGCGGCCACGATCGTTCAAGGCTGAATTCCATCGGGTCATGTGGCGTTACCGTGCCCCTCGGTGCTTCCGCGTCGTTCTATCATGCGCTATTCCCGCGCGCCCCGTGTGCCCGAAAGGCGCAAAATTCAATCCTCGAACGCCTTTGCCGGAGTCGCCGGCGCGCCAACGCCGCATTAACCTACAGTAAATCCCACTCTCGGGGCCGAGGTCGTCGTCGGCGTCCGTCCTCGTTAGCGAGGTCCCCTCCAAGGCTGGGCTGCCGTCGTCGTCGTCACGGAGGCCGCGGCCGCCGGTGCGAGAGGGCGATCCGATGCCCTGGGGCCCCAGGGGGCGGCGGACGCACATACACTTGGGCCCCATGCATGGGGGCCCCGAATACACCCACACCCGAGCACCGGAAAGCTCGGTCCCCAGACGGCGGACGTGGATGAATCCCAGCCTCGGAGCCGCGGTCGTCGTCGGCGTCCGTCGTCGCGGCGCCTGCGGCCCCTCCGCGCGCGCCCTCAGCTCGCCCAAGCGCTGCTCCAGGCCCGCGCGCACCGCCCGCTGCTCCACCTGGAGCCGCCCCGCCCGCGCCCGCGGACGAGGACCGCCGCGGCCGATGGCCAGCGCGGCCGATCACCGCGGCACGACGCCGCGCGGCGCGGGCGCGCTCACCTCATCGTCGTCGCCGCCGGCGTCGACGCCGCCACCGCCGTCGCCGTCGCCGTCTTCGCCGTCTTCGCCGTCGGCGTCGTCGGCGT